TTCACTTATATGTGAATTTTATACATTATATTTATATAGAATTTTAATTATTTATCTTTTATTTTTAATAATTAAGATTTATTATAATTTTGTAAATAAAAAAATAAATATTTTTAATAAATATGATTATATTTTAATTATTAAAAATAAAAAAATAAATAATTAAAATTTTATAAAAATATAGTACAAAAAATTTATATATAAATAAATTCTTATTTATTTTATAAGAACAATTTATATATTTTTGGTAATTTTTTTTTGAACAAATTTACAAAGGGTTAGATTCAAACCGTTGTCCTAAGGGAACGGAAATGCACTTATACGTAACTTAATGTCATTGGACCCGAAGGCCCAAGTGCATACATTTTTGGTAATTGAACTTTGTTTTTTAAGAAAAAACTATTATATTATATTAATATTATAATAATGATGATATCAGTGTCTTGCACTTGGAGTGTACGGTATATATATATATATTTTGAACAAGTTGTCAAGGGACGGGTTTGAAGCCCATTCAGGGAAAAGGGAAATACACTTCAAACTGACAGGATACCAGTTGACCTGAAGGACCAAGTGCGGATGATATATATATTTTTGATAAACATAGGTATTTATTTTTAATCTTACACATTTAACAAAATCAGACAGTTAAATGTCCAATAACAATTTGGGCCTGTGATAAGTGGATTTTGTCAGATCAGATATGGGAACTGGGGAAGTGATGATCTGCGGACCCTAATCCAACTTGCCAGTCTCCGATTGGGCGGTGGCCCGTACTGTTAGGATTTGGGGGCAATTACAATTCCGTTTAGGCCCATTAATTATTAACAATTTCGGCCTTTCCTTAAATTATTCTGGCCCAATAATTATAGCAATTCATAAAATTAGTATTCAAAACACAACTGCCACGTATTGGATTTTTATTCCTTAAATCATATGCCCATTTACCCAATCTCCTTATCGTCTTTGGGGGTATTTGTTTCAGCTTTTTAGGTATAATTATTAATTGTTGATTCTAATTAAATAAATTAAATATTTAAAATAATTAATTATTATTATTAATTATTTAATATCAAATATTAATTATTATCTATATTTAAACAGTTAATCTCAATAACCCTATCCACTGCTCTTATGACTGCAGCTCAAATAAAAATTATTATGGCTTAATAACAGTTCCATCTAGGCCCATCAATTATTAACAATTTCGGCCTTTTGATTGGGCTTGCGGCCCAGTGGCAACTTTAGGCTAATATATTTATCAGGATTGAGCATTAGGTACGGATACATTTGTTATTTGTAAATATTGTACTTATTTGGATAAAATATTTAGATAAGTATTTTATCCAAACTGTAAAAAAATTAGATAATTAATTGGTATGAAAATAATATACCCATAAATATTAAGTCAAGTAACAAGTATAAGGGTTTAAACCTGTTTACTTGAGTTATTAACTGTTTTATTTAATTAATATATTACATATATTTATATAATTGAAATTTTATATATACTTATTGTACTTAATATTTATATAATAAATAACTTTTAAAAATAAAAATAATAAAATATAAAAATAAAGATAATAAAAATCACATAATAACTTATAAATAATAAATCTGAAACCAAACACATATCACACGCAACCAACAGCTTTTTTTCCTTCATTGCACTCTTTTATTTTTTCTTTTGTCTTTTTTATCAAGTTTAAATTTTAGGGGATAACAGGATTTGAATTAACATTATGTTGGTAGAAGTATACCTTCAAAGCTGGTTACAGCTAGTCAACCTAGAAGGTTAAGTGCCCTTTCTTTCATTTTTAGGCAATGGTGAGTACAGAAAATTTCAAAGTTTAATTCTTTTTAATTTTCCTTTTATTTTCTTTATCAGTAATTTTTGAGCCATAATTTTTGTTTATTGTATAAATGATTTTTTAACTTTAAATTCCAAATTTACTATAATAAAAATGGTAAATCAAAGACATGAATATCAAGATGTTAAAATAGATGT